ATCCTGGAGTCTGGGCGCCCCCGCGGGGCAGCGTCATGGTCGACGCGTCGCCGTCGTACACGAGCTTCCGGGACGTCCCGGCTACGTCCTATACGAGCTTCGCCGACCTCGCGGCCTCGCAGGGCGCCGCGTCGGCCCGGGCGCCCAAGGCGCCGGCGCCGGCGCGGTCCGCGGCGCCGGCGGCGCGCGCGGTGCCCAAGGCGCCGGCGCCGACGACGCCGGCGGCGCCGACGACGCCGGCGGCGCCGGCGGCGCCGGAGGCGCCGGCGCCGCCCCTGCCGCCCATGCCCTGGGAGAGCGCGCCGGCGCCGGCGCCGCGCGAGGAGGTCGCGTTCAGCCTCTTCCCCGGCGCGCCCCGGCGGCGGAGCCGGTCGCCCGAGCCGACGCTGAGCGAGCGCTTCGCCGAGTGGCGGAGCCGCAAGTTCCCCGGCGACGACCTGCCGCCGCGGTGCCGCGGCGGCCGCGACGGCCCGACGCTCTCGGAGCGCTTCGAGGCCTGGAGCCTGCGCCAGGGCTTCGCGAGCCCGCCGCCGCCGCCGCCGCCGCCGCCGCGTCCGCCGCCGCGGACCTACGACCGGGGGCCGAGCCACTACGCGGTCCTCGGCGTCGCCGCGACGGCGACGGACGCGGACGTGCGGCGCGCCTACCGGAAGCTCGCCTTAGCGCACCACCCGGACCGCCACGCGCGCGACCCCGGCGCCGCGACGTCGGCGGCGGCGGCCATGGCGAAGATCAACGAGGCCTACGGCGTCCTCTCGGACCCGCGGCGCCGCGGGCTCTACGACGTCGAGCGCCGCGTGGGCGCCGTGCGATAACAGAGCCACCGACGTTAGCGCCACGTGAGCCAGTCCGTCTCCGGCGGCGGCGGCCGCACGGCGAAGGCGCCGGGCGTCCCGTCGACGTAGGCGAAGCCGAGGGACGCCTCGAAGGCCCGGTCGAGGCGCGCGAGCACCGCGGCCCACTCGCCGCGCGTCCACGCGAAGGGCGCGTCCGCGTGCGCGCGCGTCGTCTCGACGCCGAACTTCGCGTGGCCCGCCGCCGCGCGGAAGTCGGCGCCCGCGCGGCAGGCGACGAGCGTCGCGAGCTTGGCGAAGAGGAACGCGGGCGACGCCGCGAGGTCCTCGTAGCGCACGCCGATCGCCTGCGCCGAATTCAAATCTTCAACCCGACTTCAATGTGCGCGTAACCGAACGATTTGGACCGGACTCTTTCGCTGTGCTTCGAGAACTCGACGAGAGCAATCGATTCGTCCAAAAATCAGCCGAATCGACTTCGATTTGACCGAGCTAGAGAATTCTGAAGTTTGGTCAGGACCACCCAAACCAGCGGTTGAATTCCACACAGCCGATCGCGTTCGGGCACCGCCGGAGCACGTCGCGGTACTGCTTGTACTTGGCGTCGCGCATGGCCAGCACGCCCGCGTAGGTGCGCCCGCGCTCGGCGAAGGCCGCGGCGACGTACTGGGCCAGGGTCAGGCGCTTCGCGCGGCCGTCGAGGTCCTGGTTGTAGGCGATCGCCTTCATTTTGGGCGCCCACGTCGCCGCGGAGCGGAAGACGACGACGAGCGCGTCCCGGCTCCGGCCGTCGAAGCCGTCGGGCACGAAGTCGTGCTTCCAGCCGTACGCGCCGTCGCTGTCGAGCCTCTCGCTGAGGTGGTGCGGCACGTCGCAGTTCTTGTCGACCATGACGCGGAGCCTGGGCGGGAAACAAAAATATTCAACACGACTTCAACATGCATCTATTCGCACGGTTTCGCCGTACTTTTTTCACTGTCTAAAAGGAACTCGCCGAGAGAAAACGAACCATCCAAAAATCAGTCGAATCGACTTCGATGTGACCGAAGCTCGAGAGGTTTAAAGTTTTTGCTGGACGGGGCGTTCCACTGGTTGTTTCCGGCACAGCGCGGAGCCAGTTCGTGCCGCTGTGGCGCTCGCCGCGGATCGTCACGATGGGCCCGTAGGTGGCGCCGTGGTCCCAGCGGCGCGCGTGGGTCTCGTAGGTGTCGCGGCCGTGCGCCCGGCGCCACGCGTCCGCGCCGGGCCCCGACGCGAGGCCCCCCGGCGCGACGCCGCGCGCGCGCGCGCAGGCCGTCGCGTTGCGCCGCGCGCCGGACGTCGCGCCCGGCGACCGCCGCGGCGGCGTCGCGCCCGGCGCGACGGGGCTCGCGGCGCAGAATTTCAGGTAGCACGTGCCGCCCGCGAGCGTGAACGCGTCGCAGCGGGCCACGGCGTCGCACCTGGCGGCGCAGGCGGCGGCGTCCGCGACGCCCGACTCCATGCCGAGGTCGCAGCGGCCCCGGAAGAGGTCCGCGTCGGCCCAGGTGTCGAAGGCGCAGGCCGCGGCCTCGGCGGCCGCGGCCG